ACAGCCCTGACTTCTATCTTAGAGCCAGTTCTGGATCCAAATGGCTAGCTCTTCCTGTATTCCATGTGATCATTCATTTCATTGGAAGCACTTCAGAGAAGGTTCACTAGGATGATCCTTGGTACAAAGGGATTGTCTTATGAGTAAAGGGTAAACATGTTGGGACTCTACTTACTTGAATTTAGAAAAACACAAAAGTGATCACATTGAAACATAGAGGATTCTTAAGGGGCTTAAATGGATAAATGCTAATAGAATGTTTCCCTTTTTGGGAGAGTGGATGACCAGAGGGCACAGTCTCAGGTTAAAGGGGTGCCAATTTAAGACTGATAAGGAGGAATTTCTCTTAGACGGTTCAGTGCCTTTAGAATTCCATACCACAGGGAGCTATGGGGGCAAAGTCCAAGTGTATATTTATGGCTGAAACATACAGATCCTTGATTAGTAGTGGAATCAAGGGTTAGGGGGAAAAGGGCAGGAAAGTGGATATCAAGAATGCTGGAACAGCCGCAATCCTACTGAACGGCCGAGCAAGCTGAGGGGCAGGAAAGCTTATTCTTCTTCAATTTTGTTATGGTCTTAAGGGACTTTAAAAACTCTTAGTTCCAGTATTAATATACATGCTGCTGCCATTGCCTCTCCAGGTAAATACTTTGCACCATTTTCCAAACAAAACGATTTAGGCCTCTTAATTTTTAAACCCTCAAACCACCTTCGCTTGCTGTCTGGAAAACTGCAGAACAGGTCACATGACCACTTCATTTTACTTTAAAGATACAGACCAAAAACAGTCTTACAAACCACATTACTGTAACACTATTAACCTGCATCACATTTTGATTCACAATGTCTTAATACTGAAGCAAAGGAAACTAAAGGGAAAAAAGAAAAGGAAACTAATCGTGCTTTCCAGGCTGTCTACCTGACGAGGTATTCTGCACCATGTGTCAAAAGCTGAGACAGTCCAAATTTGGTCTGCTAAGTCACATGAAGGCTCATGGTAGAAATTCACGGCTTGACTAAATGTCATCACCAAATCAATAACAGCAGAAAAAGTATTGACAAAGATTATAGAGGGGATGACAGACAGAGCATGCGCATGCGTGCAAGACAGAAAGAGTTTGAGAAAGAGACAGAAAGTGTGTGAGAGAGAGATATTAGCAACATCTGTGTGATGTTAAAGTGGTTCCACATTAACAGGTTTGAAGCTACTTTAACTCTCCAGGGAAGCGAAGAATCAATTATCTGAATCAGGGTGATCTCCAGTATTCAAAGTCACTTAACAGAATCACAGAATGGTTACAACACTGAGGCAGCCATTTGGACAGCGCTACCATGCCTGCTGTCTGCAAGAACAACAGTAACTGCTGACACTATATAGCTCCTTGAAATCTGAACGACTGTCTGTCACTCAGGCTGAGAACCTTCACAAGTTACTGCCTTAAGAGATAAACGTAGGCAGATTCTAACAACTAGCAGTGGAGAGCTTAGCACTATCCTGAACTGGTAAGCTGTTCATCAGTTCTGAAGAGTCAAAATGTCAATTCTGCTTTCTCTTCACAGATGCTGCCAGACTGAGTTTCACAAGCAATTTCAGATTTTGTTTCGGATCTTCAGCATCTGCAGTTCTTTGCTTTATTTTTGTTCTATATGTTCTGGTTCAACCTCAGCTTCATCCATGCTTATGATCAAGCCATCATCTGTTCAGATATTGATGGAAAGGCATTTATTAAAATTTCCATGCTCCTTCTTTTATCATGTTGTTTATGTGCACACAGAGGGAAGTGCGAGATAAAAAAAGGCTCATCTCCCATCTTGTCCAAAAATGTCCTTCCATGCTCAACATTACTGCTTTACACAAAATTTTCCATTTATGTGCAATTCTGGAAGTACACGAGCGGGCTGGTGCATGAATGAATCAGTGCATGTGCGTGCGAGTGAGTATGTGTGTGTAATATATATTAAAATATGTAGCCTAAGAACACAGTTTAATATATTGATTTTACCCACAGATATAGTGGACGAGGGAGGAAAGGGCAGAATGATTGCAGATGCATTTTGGGACTAAAATTGAAATCCAACTTTCCTCTGGATTTTGAATTAAATACAAAGACTATCGCTATAAAGGGTTTGAAAGAGAAAGATAGTTATTTATCCTAATCAACAGTACGAGCAGGAAATTCATACACTAAGTACTGTGTATCGATCACATCAATACAATATCACCAATGAGAAACCAGTGATGAAAATTTGCTAGACAACAAGGTGCAGGGCTGGATGAACACAGCAGGCCAAGCAGCAT